AAAAAATATAAATTAGTGTTTTATTTAGTATAAACAAATTGGGTCATAAAATCAATTATTAGTGTCTTAGTGAAATTAAACTAGAATCAAGATATAAAATGCTTGGCATTCTATATTATACTCTTCACAATTTAACTCCCCCCCTCCTCCTTCCCCTTAACTCTCATTTTCAATTCGATTTTTTTCAGAATCAATATGTTTCTTCCCTTTATACAGCTTGATTTCAATTTGATATTGTTTTCTGTTTAGGATTTTTTCAATATTTCAACCCCCTCTTATCCCCCTCGCTTTTATTCCGATTTTTTTTAGAATCAATAATAGGCTTCATTCCTTTATTTATAGAGCTTGGTTTTACTAAAAATGTTATGTTATTATCGCTTTTGGTTTTTGTTCAGATTTTTTTAAAATCAATAGAGTTTATAGAGCTTGATTTTGTTAAAAATTTCAAGTTGATATCGCTTTACATTTAAGATTTATGATTTTTTTAATTTCCCTTGACCCCATTTTTAATCGGATTTTTCAAAATCAATAGGCTTTATCCGCTTATAGAGCTTTATTTTTGCTAAAACTTTCAAGTTGATAACATTTTTCGTTTTTGACTTGGGATTTTTTTATTGTTTCAAACCCCCTTAACCCCCCCCATTTTTATTCAGATTTTTCAGAATCAATAGACTTCATGTACTTATTGAGCTTGATTTTTATTAAAAATTTCATGTTGATATCGATTTTCGTTTTTGATTTATTACTGATTATTTTACCCCCCTCCGATAAATTCTAGAATATTCCAGATCGATGTATCCACCAAATATTAGAAGTTTACGTCAATTGACGATAACTAACCATAACCCTCCCACAGAGGAAGCTTTCGAAGGTTTACTCACTTTAAACTATTTATTATGACCTGTAAACAATATTTAGAAAAAAACGTGTAAATTTATTGATGTTTTTGTTAAAAGTTTGGTTAGAATTAAATGTCAGTGGAACCATAATGACATCACTCTAAACTGGCGTATTATTGAAGATTTGTGACCCTCTATGATCCTAAAAAAATGGTTTCAATCGTCTGTAAAATCTACAAAGGTACTGCCATCTTAAATGGATCACATTGTATATACAGGTTTGAAAGAGAACATTCGGGATAAGTACAACGAGCGCGACAAAGAATGTATATTTGGAAAATAAAGATGGGTGATGGGTGAATACCATTTAAATAAATAAATCATGCAAACACAACCTAGATACCTATATCAGGAAAACACGAAAACAGAAATTCTGAGAGGGAGTTTTTCGTTAAACTAATAGGGCGTGGTTCCTATAATGGACTTCCATAATTTAAAACCAAATAACAATATAACAAAAAAGGCATGTTGCACTATTAACGTAATTATGAAACTCCTTTTTATCTAAAGGTTGAAGCTCTAAAACCGAATCCTATTACTGAACCAATTTATATACCTAGTTGCAATTAAAAATAAAATAAAAGTATATTAATTTTCATTAAATATGAAAGAATATACATCAATGTCGTAATTTAACATTTTGCGAATAGGAAAAAATATAAATTATCCACGATTTGACCCGAATCATTGAGATGCCTACCACTGTGCGAGCCGATAGCCTAAGGCTCTCAAGGCCATTCTTCGCCGGCTTATTACAGTTGATCTAAATTTGCATCACGGATGCTGAGTGTAAATGTCTATACTTTAGAGACATAAATTGCACTACGTTTACACGAGAAAATGAACTGACGTTTTTAATAATTAGAAGTTTTTTTAAATATCGTTTTTTTATTATTGAAGCTTTACAAAGAAATCGTCCATATACTTCCACGACCTGAGTTGAATTTTGAACTTTTCTAACCCCTCCCTGCAGACTATATGATCAAAGTAGGACAATTTATTTCAGAAACGATTCTGGGGGTGTCTTTAATTAATCCTAAGTTTTGTAAGTATCAATTCGTTAGTTCCTCAATGGCGGGCTTATAACTTTCTTTGAGAGTTATTTCATTCTGATACACACCGAGAGGGATGTCTCCATTATAGAAGTCTATTTTGTTCAGGTGCCCCTTTCACATTCCCAGTTATGACCTACTAGACACTAGACTCGTAACTGGATCCTATTCATAGAAAGTTGAGCTCCTGCTCCATTTGAACACTGTTCTATGAAGATTTTCCCATGTACTTGGTTTGTAACATTTTTCCAGTAGTTGTTATGCTTCTTCCTCCTGTCTGTTTCTTCTGATTCTCTCTTTCCAAGTGAAACAATGTCAGAATTTGTGTACGCATTTTATTTTCTACGCATATACATAAACTAAACATGTTCCTGGAATATGGAAGTATGCCTGCTGGATAGGTTAGGTTGAAAATGAGTGGCACTGCAACTCAGATGGATCTATTGTGGCTTATGTCTAACTGATAGTTTACCGTACAAGCCACACATTTTGATGAAGGCCAAAGGTGAATTGGGTAAGACTTATTTAAGGCTTGTGTGATCTAGTTGGGTGAATCCAAAGATCTTGAATCTAGTTATTTTCAAAGCGGAGCAGGTATATAGAATGAGTCGTCTTCCACGCTACAGAATCGATAGTCTGACGATTGTTGCAGACCTATCTCTGTGTCCTGGAACCCAAATCAAAGTAACTTTGTTCCGGGCATCGAGACACTCAAGGGTATTTATACGGTTCCAAACCAGCCCTGAGTCAATTCGAATGGAACCCAGAGCTTTGAGTCTTGTTGGTGGGGAGAAAATTATCCATTCCTCCGCTCCCAATTCCATAGCAAGCATTTCTGCTTGGAAGATCGTGGCCAAAGTACCAAACTCCCGTTCTTACACCTTTTTCATTTTTGGATCCGTCCGTGTACAGCGCATAATCCGCCTGGGAGAGAGTTTTATCTCTCTTGCTCCAAAACTTTTCTCTATATGCTGTCGGGGAACTAGCGAGTCAGACCTTGCCGACGATGTGGTGGTAATTAATCACACTCATCAGCCCCATTTTATCCCACCATTTTATTCCATTGACTACCCATCGTCAGGAGCCTTGGCCTCCCTTTTCAGCAAAATGTGGAGAGGGGTTAGATCCAGCATGGTCAACCACACCGAAAGGAGCCATGGGGCCTTTCGGTGTTGTTGACAAAGCTCCAGTGATGGCGACGTACGCAAGCCGCTGGATTCCAGCCAGTTTGCTTTGGCTCTTCGTTGAATTGCCTCACCAGACGACGGAGCGGTACGTAGGTACCCATCACGGTTTGGTACATTCAGTAGATCAGTTGAGGACTGATCACCTATGCTTTGTCACATACACCTATGCTTTATCGCATATCTTTCTGAGGGTTCAGTAGGATAACTTGGCTTTATTGATGTTTTTTTTTCAATCGGGGGTTTCAGGTGAGCTTCTTATCTAGTATAATTCACAGAATTTAACTTCCTCCGCAAAAGGAATGGTTTCCCCGGCCAATGTAGGTTATTAAAGCGTGTTAAGTTTTCGGCTCTTGTTGATGGGGAAGATAACAGTTTTTCGGGGTTAACAGACTTCTGCTCCCTCTTGCATAATCTGTTGATCATATTTAGAGCCTGTTGAAGGATGTTGGATATCACCTTTTTATATTTTCCCTTTATTATGATAACCAGATCATCGTATAGCATTGGAAATCTCCCCCTGAAAAGGGAGATAATCTAACAGATTATACACTAGAATGGTCCAACCGCTTTGTGGCCATTCCTTGCAGGTCTAAAGTGACTTTCTCTCCCTGCAGTGATGAAATGTTGTTCCGATTTCTAAACATCCTTTTGGTCCAGTTACTGGTTAGTTTGTTGATTCCCTTTCTTTCAAATGAAATGAATGGAGAATGTGGAAGGACTTTATTGAACGCGCCTTTTATGTCTAGGAAGGCAATCCGATCTTGCCTACTAGATTTTGCACTGTACAAGGCATAATCTGTCGATTTGCCTGCTTGATATGCATATTGGAGGGAATTGAACGGGCTTGCCCGAAGTTTTCCTTCTCTAATATGCCTGTCTTAGAATTCTGTCTAGTATAAAGTTTTGATTTTTATACTATAGATTGGGAAGAAAAATGTAGGACCTAGATTTTACACTGCACTACTATTACTTTAATATAGGAATTGTAAACGTAGCCACATACACACGACCTTCTTTAATGTGTTTAGATCTAATCAATTATATAGGTATTGGATAATTTATCAGTCAATGAATTCCATTAAAATGGTTACCACGTTTTTTAGACCTTTTGCATCATTCTATTTTTAATTTGCACAAAATAAACTACATGACATAAGAACGGATGTTTCATTGTAATGAATTTTAAAGATTCTAATAAATGTGAGATCATCTTGATATTATAGAGTTCTCATGAAATTGTATTACTAAAATTAATGCAGTTATCAAAACGTAATAAGTAGGTATATAATAATAATATAAAAGATTATGACCCCCATATAGAATTTCAAAAACATATGCATTAAATGTTGTTTCAATTAAACGTTTTTTTACGAAAGGAGACTTCTGCTGAAGTACATCTTTAATACTGCATTATCTTCTGCGGCTTGATGTATACTCTTCCATTTATATTTAGCTGTTACTTTTATAAGTGTAATTACAATAGCTACTTGAAAAGTATTAAAGGTATTTTTTACATCCCTTTGTCGTAATTAATATTATTTTATAATTTTAAAATAAAAAGTTTCCGTACCTATATTCTTTATAGGTGAATTTAAGAGCTAAATATATTTCATCAAAATTTCATATTGATTTACCTGTCTCGCTGTAAAAACCACAATTGAAATAAAACTGGTCATTGTGTTTAAAAACATGATTTTATAAAGAGTGCTTTTGGTTTTGGGCAGTACAATTGAAAGTCAAATATTTAAAAATTTAAGGCAATCCTTTAATAATTTTGCGCAGTATACATTTCACAAATGTTTATCACAATATTGTTTTTGTTAAATAATGTAATAAAAACTGTTTAAATAGTTGAAACTTACCTACAGATCCCCAATCAGGGTGGGCTAAGTTATTGAACCATCCATCATGCCTTTGCTTTTCTGTTTTACTTAAAAGTTGATCTGAAACAACAAGAAAACTAGATAGAAATAACAAATTACATGTTAATAGGGTTATTGTAGCACTAACTGCAACTCCAATTTCAATGAATTTCACCAAAAATTATTTTTTTTTGCAACCTTCTAGAAAAGACTCTTTTTGAGGCTAGAATTTTGTTTAATTTTGTGTTTTGTATGAAACTATATCTGCCAATTTTCTTAGCAATAAAGCAGATGCTTCTATCTGCGTCATGTTAGCAAGTAGCCAGCCAGCAATAAATTCAGGTGGAGGCCAAAGCGCCAGCGGTCTTACTAAATTTTTAACATTATTATTTTAAATTTCGACCTAAAGAATATATTAAATCATAATTTGTTGCATTATAATTATTATTACCCTTTCTTAAAATTATAATAAGGGATTTAGAGAGGGCTAAGCTTTTATTACTAGCACGAAATTTTTGTTTTTCAAAAATTTATTTAAGCCATTCGAAAGATAATAAAAAACAATTTTTTCGAATACCATTTTAATGCTATATGGGTTATAGGGGATTTAGAAATCTTTGAATATTCAGAGTTTTTATTGCTGAACCAAAATTTGTTTTTTTTTTTTAAATGTATTTAGGCCATTCGAAAGATAATAAAAACAAACAATTTTGTCGAATACCATTTTAATGCTATACCTATGGGTTATAAGGGATTTAGAAATCTTTAAATATTCAGAGTTTTTATAGCTGAACCAAAATTTGTTTTCTTCAAAAATTTATTTAGGCCATTCGAAAGATAATAAAAAAAAAACAAACTATTTTTTCAAATACCATTTTAAATCCTACATGGGTTATAAGCGATTTAGAGATCTTTGAAATTTCAGAGTTTTTATTGCTGAACCAAAATGAACCAAACAATTTTTTCAAATACCATTTTAAATGCTGTATGGGTTATAAGGGATTTAGAGATCTTTGAAATTTCAGAGTTTTTTGCTTCAGCAATAAAAACTTTGACATTTGATAGCTGCTGAGGTTTTCCAACAAAAAGTTTCCAGGGAAATATTTTTTTTGGGAAAAACGTGTAAAAACGGACTTTATCGGTCTTTCAAAAAAAAGTTCAACTATGCATTTTACGTGGAAGTTTACTCTACAGGGTGTTCCATCTCAGACGAGCCACCCCGTATATTTCTTATCCCATAGTAATTGGAAAAATTTCCCGAAATACGTCGGATGATTTTCTTTGGGGTACATCTTTTGACGTATATTTGATGCTTGAACGAGCAACCCCCTTTGAGGGGGCGCTTCAACCCCTCAAAATTGAATAGGAAAGAGGGGTTGAGTGATACTTCATTTTTAAGGTCTTGGAAGCCTTTTTACAACGGTGTATGAAAAAAATCACATTCTTAAAAAAAAATTAATTGTTTTATCATGCTTACAATGAAAAAAATCAAAACTGCGTTTTTAAAACAAATGTTCAAATTGTCCTCCATTGACTTTCATACAATAATAAATTCTCTCGAACTAATAAATAAAAAAAAATCAAAACATTACCTTATCTTGTCTTCATTTTTTGTTTTTAGAAGGTGTTTATCGCGTTTCTTCTATCATTTCATGTATTAAAAATCAATCTGTTGAGTTACTACTTTGCTGATTTGCTTACAATTTTAAAAATAAATTATGGTGTACACATTGCAAGAACGTGTTGAGCTAGTTAGCCTGTATTACCAAAATCAAAATGGTGCCCGAGCGGCAGCAAGGATATTTAACCGAAACCATCCTGAACGTAGGTTCGCCATAAGTACGTAATGGAATTGATTTCAAAATTTGTTGAGACGGCTTCAGTAATGGATAAAAAAAGGGCACCCATTGGAATTGTGAATGATGAAGGAGCAGCTGTAGCGGTATTGGACCATGTCCAACTTATGCCAAACACGCAATCTGTCCGACAACTTTCTGCAGTTCCCGGTATTGGCTAATCTAACGTTTTCAGAATTTTACATAAACATAAGTTCCATCCGTACAAAATTAAATTAATTCATGAATTAAATGATGATGATTTGGATCTAAGCACATAATTCAAATAATATAATATATTTAAACATTAAGGCAAAATGTAGTTGAATTCAATTCAACATGACCAAACCACTCAACCACCGCCATTCAAGAATTGACAAGTTTTTCGGCCCGTGGCAACACGACTGTACAGGAAACAACAATTTTGAAACCAAGCGAAACAAGATCGAACAGCCTTTTTTAACTGCTTATAAAAATCTGATGTGTCCAACACATGACTTTCCTATCTAGGTATTACAGGCTTTTTCCGGTTATTTTGTACAACCTATTGCAGCATCTCTATAAATGTTTAGAGGATAAACTAAATATATACATTGTCCACATACATCTACCGCGAAACATTTTTCTATAGATATTCATTGAAAATGAAAATACTGAAAAATTTAAATTTAGCACTTTTCCTACAATTTTTTTATTACGGTCCATTTTAAAAAAATCATGTATAAACAAATATTATAGAGATCGATATCGCAAACAACTTTTATTTCAACAATTTTCATAAAAATCAGAATTTTGCACATTTTGTCAAATTTCTCGAATACGGACCATTTCAGGAAATTTTGACATAAAGCAAAAATTATAGATAAAAATATTAGAAGTAACTTTTATTTGAACAATTTTCTTCCCCAAACATAAATAACAGATATATTCCATAAAATATAAAAACGGCCTCCCATAAAGTACCCCCCCAGATGTTCCGACTTTGTCCAAAATCTAATCATTTCACGTCAGGCCGAAATAAACCTTAAGTTTAAAATTTAATGTTTTTTCCTTTATCCGTTTTTGAGTTTTCTTCAAATTTCGAAATTTACACATTTTCTCAAATATCTCGAATACGGTCCATTTTAGAGAAATTATGTATAGGACAAAAATTATAGAGAATTATATTACAAATAACTTTTATTTGAAAAATTTTTTATGAAAAATTATTTTTTTTACATTTTGTCAAATTTCTCGAATACGGACCATTTTAGGAAAATTTTGCATAAAACAAAACTTATAGATAATTATATTAGAAGTAACTTTTATTTGAAGAATTTTCTTCTCCAAACGTAAATAACAGATATATTCCATAAAATATAAAAATGACCACCTATAAAGTACCCCCCCAGATGTTCCGACTCTGCCCAAAATCTAATCAGCTCATTGGACGCTGAAACAAAGCTTAAGTTTAAAATTTGGTGTTTTTCTGTGTATCGGTTCATGAGTTATGCGTTATACAGACACACACACACACACACACACACACACACACACACAGACACACACACAGACACACACACAGACATCATCGCGAAAATAGTCAAAACGGATTCAGGGGACCTCAAAACGTAAAAATCCGTCGAAAACTCGAGGTCGAAAAAAATCATGATTCCTATACTTTCCTTATATCTGTATACAGATAGGAAAGTAAAAAGGAAGTAGACTTAAAACAATGAATTATTTGGCACTAGACTTCGGCTGGTGCGAAATAAAATAGTTTGTTTAAATTGATAGTGCAAAAAAGCTTTAAAAAAGTGCTTGTACAAATTGTCCAGTGCGTTTGGCTTCTGTGAAGGTGTTTTAATTTTTGTTTTCGTTTTTAAAAACTAAAAAAAATCCATCAGACATAAGCCCAAAACAGGGTGGGGGGTAGATTTCAAAAATTAGAGTTTAGATCAAAACATGGCTTGTGTGGTATCATCAAATGAAAGGTAATTGAATCTGGAGTTGAATAAAATGCATTTTATTTTTAAGCCAGTGGCGCACGAGGAGGGGATTTCAAAAATTAGAGTTTATTTTAAAAAATGGCTTGTGTGGTATCAAATGAAAGGTAATTGAGTCTGTAGTTGAATGCAATACATTTTTTTTAAGTCAGTGACGCATAAGGGGGAATTTCGAAAATTAGAGTTTAAATCAAATCATGGCTTGTGTGGTATCAAATGAAAGGTAATTGAGTCTGGAGTTGAATGCAATACATTTTTTTTAAGTCAGTGACGCATATAAGGGGGAATTTCGAAAATTAGAGTTTAAATCAAATCATGGCTTGTGTGGTATCAAATGAAAGGTAATTGAGTCTGGAGTTGAATAAAATGCATTTTATTTTTGACGCCAGTGGCGCACAAGGGTGATTTGAGAAATTAGAGTTTACATCAAAAAATGGCTTGTGTGGTATCAAATGAAAGTTGATTAAACCAGCAGTTGAATAAAATTTATTTTATTTTTTTAAGCCAGTGGCGCACAAAGGGGGATTTCAAAAATTAGAGTTTACATCAAAAAATGGCTTGTGTGGTATCAAATGAAAGTTGATTGAACCTGCAGTTGAATAAAATTTATTTTATTTTTTAAGCCAGTGGCGCACAAGGGGGATTTCAAAAATTAGAGTTTACATCAAAAAATGGCTTGTGTGGTATCAAATGAAAGGTAATTGAGTCTGGAGTTGAATAAAATGCATTTTATTTTTTAAGCCAGTGGCGCACGAGGAGGGGATTTCAAAAATTAGAGTTTATATCAAAAAATGGCTTGTGTGGTATCAAATGAAAGGTAATTGAGTCTGGAGTTGAATAAAATACATTTTTTTTAAGTCAGTGACGCATAAGGGGGGAGGATTTCGAAAATTAGAGTTTAATTCAAATCATGGCTTGTGTGGTATCGAATAAAAGGTAATTGAGTCTGAAGTTGAATAAAATACATTTTTTTAAAGCCAGTGGCGTACAAGGGGGGATTTCAGAAATTATAATTTAAATCAAATCATGGCTTTTTTGATATCAGTATTATCTTTTATTTTAATTAATTTGTTCCAGAAACCAAAATGTCTGATGCTAAGAGAAAACCCTCTGGGAGCGAATTTAAAAAGCGGAGATTGAACAAGCAAACACAGCTTCAAAAACAGTTAGATGCGCTGCAGAACTTCTTGAAAGAAGGTAGTTTCAACGCTCCCACAACCGACCAACATTTGAACAACGCCCAACACCTAGATACTGACTT